CACCTTACACTGCCCACAATCTAGAATTATATATTTGTTTGTGGAATTATGTTTGTCTGTCATCCTCACTAATTTGTATGCCCCACAAGGGTAATTACAGGGCCTGGCCTGGAGTGTTTAATGAGTATTTTTTGAGCATACGAATGAAAGAATGAATGTGGTGGGAAGGCAGGAGGGAGGTGACAGAAGATAGGTGAGGAGCAGGTGGAGAGTGAGGAGAGAGGATGGTAATGAGGGCAGTAAGCAAAGGGGAGGTGTACGGATGGAAGGAGAAGAGGTGAGGGGACACCAAGGAGAAGGAGTCTTTGTGCTGGACCTGAGTAAGGCATCCAGACCCTGGGTGGGCTTCCAGGAGCTCTGTCTTTTGGGGCCATGCTGCTTTGGAGGTTTGAAGTCAGGGCTGGTAGGCGGGGCTAGACTTTATCTTGGGGTGCAGCCCTAACCTCAGATGGTGACAGAGCTGGAGCCAGCAGGGGTTTTGCAAACCGTCCCGATTGCAGCAGGCCAGCAGTCTCACTCAGACAGGGGGGCGGGGCCTGAGCTTATCTCCTGAGTACAGTCCTAACCTCAGATGGTGACAAAGCGGGAGCTAGCAGGCGTTTTGCAAACCGTCCCGATTGCAGCAGGGTTGGATGGCCAGGCCAGGGGTGACTGTGCTAGGTGTGGGGGACAACAGGGTGAAGCTTAGCTTGTTGGAGTATGTGTGTGTGTGTGTGTGTGGGTGGGTGGGTGGATTTGTTATACGTATGGCTTGCTTCTACCTACCTCAGAGCCCTGTTTCTTTCTAAAAGAGAGATGGGAGTCCAACAGCTCTGCAGGTGGGTCTCTCCCTGTTAGAAAGCCTTGCTTTTCCCAGGTCCTAGGACCCTTTCACAGCCCCTGAAGTCAGAATTCATGGCTGTTGGGAATTCTAGTTGCAGCCATTTTCCTCTAAAAAGATCCACCCTCTCCCCACGGGGAGAATTTCTCATGCACCACTGAGGCATTTTTGAGGCCAGGCCAGGCCTGCTTATAGGATTAGCTGACGGAGGCCAGCCAGGAGTCCAGTCCTGGTTGGACCATTCACACTTGGAGCAGCCCATGCAGAATCCTGAGAGGAGGGGTCTGCCTGCTGGGGCTGGTGAGGGTGATTAAAGTGGCTGGCCTGTCCAAGACGAGGTGCAGAGGCCCTCAGCCAGTGCTGGCTGTTGTGGCCTCAGTATCTCCTGTGCAGCCCCCTCCCTCCCATAGCACCCTCATTGGCTTGAGGTAGGGCAGGGAGTGGAGGTGAAGAGGCCCCTTTCTACCCCACAACCCCAACCGGGATCTTGCAACACAGGGATGGGGGCCCTGGGGGCCCAGGCATGTGGCAATCTGTGGAGGTGGGGGTGGGGAGCATGGTGCAGGGGGGCAGCTTTCACAAGCTGCCACCACTGCTGTCGACTGACCTTGGCAGACTCACCTTGGGCAGCTTCCTCCCTCTTCATGGTACCTCTCACAGCCTTCCTTCTCCTTGGCAGCTTCCCTGTGACCTGAGATCCTGTCTCTCAGCTTGGGATTCTACTCCTGATCCCCAGTTCTGCTCATGAAGAAAAAGTGGGCCCGAGCTGCGGGTCCTAAAGCATGGGAAAGCATGTGTGTGCTATTTGGACTTTGATTTGCTGGTTTTCAAAGTCCCTGAGTCCCCTGTCCTGGTCCTTTCCCCAGACAGGGGTCAGCTAACTGCCCTTCCCTGGCTCCTTTCTGCCACTTCCTTTCCCAGCAGGGCACCTCTGCTGCGAAGGTGAGAAAAGGGGGGGGGGAGTTAAGCCTGCGCCCCTTCTGCCTGGCTTCTTGGGGGCTTCCTCCTCCGCAGGGTCTGTGCAGCTCCTCCTGGGGGCAGGGGTGTTTTTCTTGCTAATCCCCTCTCCCTCCTTTCTGGGCCACCAGCCCCTGGCTTCCTTTCTTTTCTTCATCACCTGGACGCCCTGCGGGGCTTTCTCATTTGCTCTTCCTCTTCCCACCCTTCCCCCATGGCACATCTGCCTCCTTGAAATGCTTTAGGTTTCAACTTAAATGCTGTTTCCTCAGAGAGGTCTTTCTTGACCACCCCAGCCAAAATAGCCTCCCTACCTGTGTGTGTGTTTGGTTTTCCCAATGGGCATATTCAAGTGGAGTAATGAAGACACTTTAAGGAAGGCACTTTATCAAGGATTCCAGGAAAGGAACAGGGTGGTGAAGTGGGGGCCATTACCACCCTCAGCGAGAGTGGCCAGTCTCACCCCCATGGCCACCAGGAGCTTTTTGATGTAGGGAGGCAGCCGCCTGGGGACTGAGTAGGGTGACAAAAGGCAGAGAAGGGATCTGTAGGGGCAAAGGAAGACTGACCTTTTCTTTCTACTCCTTCAGCTGAGAACTTGTCTCGTCCACAGGAAAGATGCTCAACAAATACTTGTTGACTAAACTGCTTTGGCCACAAACAGTTGAGACCAGATTGAAAGCCCCTTCAGGAAGCATGTCCTCTGGCCACAGGGCATCTCCTTGGGATATAATCTGACATAAAGGATCGGGGCGTGCTGGGCTAGGATTGCAGTGGGGAGAGGGGGGATATGGCTCTTCTCCAGACTCAGACTCTTCTCTGGTCAGAAAGCCTCACAGGCACCATCCTGAGGCACTGACGGGTGGGTGGGGGCCAGGGGAGACACAGTTGAGAGCTGTGAGAAAGAAGCTTGGGGTTGATGCAACCCAGGTCCCACCACTCAGAACCTTGAAAATAAGTCAAGGGGCAGTGGTCTTGAGCTGAGAGGAGGAAATCCGGAGGTTGAGTCACACCGTGTTCTGTACAAACCCCCCTTATGCAACCCATCCCCCTGGGCTGAAAGGAAGGTGCAAGGATTCTCCCAGACGCCCACAGACTCTGGCACCTCCCCCTTCCAAATTTAGTCCCTCCAGAAAGGTTCAGATCTGTCTTGCCCAAATAACTTTCTGAGAGGGAGAGAGACTGGTGTCTGGAGACCTGGGGTGGGGGCCCAGGGCACAGAGGTGGGAGAGATGGTGCCTGAGAGACACAGAGGCAAAGGCAGGGAAGGAACTCAGTCCTGGGTGAGGCAGACGTGGTGCCTGAGATGTAGGAAGCTCTACCACTGGGGATGGAGAGGGAGAGGGACAGAGGGGACTGTGGTGTTCCAGACACCAGTTTCTCTCCTTCTCAGGAAGCTATTTCTTGCTGTCTAACTCAGGTTTTCCCAGCCGTGGCCGGGGAGAGACTTTAGCCCTTATTCTGTCCCTGGGCCTGTGACAGTGCTGGGCAATGCATGATTACCTATTGAATGTGATTCATGTGCCCCACCTGTGTCATCTGTCCTTCAAGGGAGGGTGCAGCACAGAGTAGAGAGACAGGGCCCATGTGCTGGGACAGCAAAGGGGCTGAGTGACCTTTAGGAGAATGTCTTTCCCCTCTGGCCTTCAACTGCTTTATCTATGCAATGTGGCTCACGATATCTTGTTTGTCTGAGGGCAAAGCCCACCAAATGATCTCTTGAGGTCTCTTCCAGCATGTCTTGAGATCTTTGATTTTATGGAGCTAATTTTGGTTCTACCTCTAAACAGTTGTGTGACTCTGGGTAAGTCCCTTCCCCTCTCTGAGGCCTTGGTTTCCTCACCTGCAAAATGAGAAGTTTAGATGAGATCTCTGAGGTCCTTTCAGTTCTAGCAAAGTGGAATCATAACAAACATTCATGCTTACAATGTGCCAGGCCCTGTTTTTCTATGAATGTAACAATACTATGAGGTGAGTATTAGTATTACTCCCATTTTGCAGATGAGGAAACTGAGGCACAGAGAGGAGAAGTAACTAGCTCCAGGTCACAGAGCTAGTAAGTAGCAGAGCAAGATGCAAACCGAGCGAGGGTTGCGATCCATTGCCGGACACGAAAAACGACAAAAAAAAAAAAAAAGCAAATTACCCCCAAATATAGCAGATTAAAACAATGAACATTTATTATGTCACACGGTTTCTGGGGTCTGGAATCTGAGTGGCTTAGCTATGTGGTTCTAGCTCAGGGGTTTCCCCTGAGATGGCAGTCAAGATTTCCACCAGGGCGCCAGTCATTGAAGACTTGCCAGGGCTGCAGGATGCTTTTTATTCTTATTTAATTTTTTTGTCCTTTTTGAGACCGGCCGCACCGTGCTCAGCCAGTGAGCGCTGTGAGCGAACCGGTCATCCCTATATAGGATCCGAAGCCGCGGTGGGAGCACTGCTGCGCTCCCAGCACCGCACTCTCCCGAGTGCGCCACGGGCTCAGCCCTTAGGCTGTAGTTCTATGAGAAAGAAGACACTTCGAGTGTGGGGTTTCACTGGCACAGACAGATTGTCCTCCTCCTCCTCCTGCTCACAGTCCTGATACACAAATCAGGTCCCATGCCTTTCCCAACTGATTCCTCCCCTAGGCACTCAGATTCTTGAGCTTTAGGGAACCGGAGACTCAGGGGATAAGGGACAAAGATGGGAGTGGGTGGGTGCAATGGTGGGAGGGATGTTGGTTTGGTAGACTGAGGCTGTGGAACTGGGGAGCAGAGATCAAGTGCTGCAGAGCCACCAGGGATTTTCCCTTGGTCACCTGGGGAAGGAGATCCCAGGCCTATACCTCAAGGTAAGGGAGAGCAGGCCTGGGATCAGCAGGCTTGGGCCTAAGGGACTGTGTGGTGCTGGGATCTCCCTACAAGCCACAGATCTGTCAGGTCCTGGGGGTGGGGGCAGGCCTCCAACTTATAGAAGGACAGAGTGGGGGGATGGTAGAGAAGAGGACAGTGACAGACACATGGCCTGGTGTGTTGGGGGAGGGCTGTGGGCAGCATGTCTGTATTCCCACATATTCATTTGGGCACAGAAACAAGAATTATGCAGACCCAGCCACATGCATTCCCTGCCTTCAGTGTTCCCCATGACACTGACACACACACACACACACACACACACACACACACACACACACACACACACACACACGAGAATGGACCCAGGTACAGTGAACAGCCCAGCACCAAGTCACAGGCAATTTTATTCAGCCATAGAATCATTATGCTGGGTCCTGCCCTCCCTTGCTACCCTGCTGCCATCTGTCCATGGTCCATGTCTCAGGCTCTGCCTGTGAAGGGCTCTAGGTCCCAAGCAGGGTGAGGTCCCCAGGGTCAGGCTGGGCTAGGGGGCCTGGTGTCCACAGTCCACCAGCCAGGCTCAGCTGCAGCCCCCCACACCCTTGATGAGGTTGGCAGCCTCAGGAATCTGGCGGAAGAGGTTGCGGAGGGTGTCCAGCTCCTGGGTGAGCTGCTCCACCCGGCTGCGAAGGCGCTCATTCTCAGCCATGTACTCCAGCACTTTCTGCTGAGTCTCCAGAATGCGCCTCTTGGCCTTGTCCCGGCTCTTGCGCACGGCGATATTATTGCGCTCCCGCCGCAGCCGGTACTCCAGGCTGTCTTTGTTCACTGCCTTCTTGCCCTTGTGCAAAGGGCCAGCTGGGGAGGGCACCTTAAGGAGGGGGCTGCAGGGGGGTGCAGCAGCTGCCAAAGGGGCCTGGAGGGGAAGAAGACACAGAAGGACAGAGGTGAGGGCTGGCTAGGAAGCAGAGTGCAGGCAGGGCAGGAATCCCAGCAGCCAGGGCATGCTTGAGGTATCAGAGGAATACAGGATTGAGAGCCAGCTCCTGTCTCCCTGCCTCTGAGAAAGAAGTGACCCAGATGCACAGGGTCCTCTGCTCAACACCAAAATTTCCTTTCATGTTCTCACACTCTCTGAGGACATTCTCCCTCAATCTATCTCGAGCCTCCTGTTTTACGACCAGTAGGCATTACCTCCTCTAGAAGCAGGGGTGGAGAAACAAGAGGAGCCAGCGTGGTGGGCAGTGGAGAAGCTAGTGCGGGCCTGAGATCAGGGGCTTCAAGAAATGGTGGGGTCAGAGTAGGAGGGAATTCACAGAGAAGGAAAGGGGGTCATGGCTCGGTAGTGAGCACAGACGACTTTGGGGTGGGTCGGTTTCACAGAGCAACACCAAGCACAGACTCCTTAGTGTAAGCAGGAGTTTAAAGTTCCCCCACCCACACCGACCTCTCTCCAGCCCTGGGTGGCAGGGAGGAGAACTGACCTCTTACCTTGAGCACACGCAGGGGCTGGCCTGGAGCTGCCAGGGTTGGGGGCAGGTGCACGGCCGTCTGCCCACAGTGTGCCACTTGGTACTGCAGGGGATTGTAGCCACCTCGGCTGGAACCTCGGCTGCCCTCTGGCCCCCGAGGCTCCTCCTTCACCGCCACAGCCCTGGGGTCATAGCTCCCTGGGCTGCTGTAGATGCCAGGCCCCAATGCCTTCCTGTCTGGGCCGAAGGTATGGGGGGGGTAGGCAAAGGACCGCGGATCAGGCGGCAGGTAGTGGGGGAAGGTGGGGGTTCCAGGGCCCTTAAGGCCTCGGGCTTCAGGCGCTGGCTTCACAGCAAAGAGGTCGGAGAGGAGCTGCTCCTCCCCAGACTCGATGTAGGCAGAAAGGTCGATGGAGGCCTCATGGTCACACATGTCCCCCAGCTCCCCAGGCCCACCTCGGCCCCCCGAGAACTCAAGTGGCTGCTGGCTGCCCCGGGGCTCACACTCATAGTAGGTCCCGTGAGACATGCCGGCCCGCCCCCTCGGCTCCCCGCCCCTGCTGCCCTGCTCTCGGGCACCCCTTGGGATGCTCAGCCTGCCCTCTCTTGACCTCCCCTTGCCCTAGATCTGCCCTCTCCAGCCTCCTCTGCTACACACTCCTGGGTGGCCTCTCTTCTCCCTCCTCTACTCTGCTTCCTTTTCCTTCCTCTACAGTCAGTGCCTCTCTCCTCTTCCCTTTTTTCCCCTCTCTCTCCCTGGGGTGACTCAGGGAGGGTCAGAGCGCACCCCAGAGGGAGGGATGTAGGCCTTAGAGTAAGGGCACCCCAGGCCTACTTAGCTGTTGGTGCACTCTTTGATCGGGGTCCAAACAGGGTCCATCCTGGAAATACCCAGGAGCTGATGCTTCTGAGGAAGGCTCTTCACTCCCTGTTGAGCCCAGAGAATTTTAAATCCTTACTGAAGGCAACACCTCACTCTGACTATCCTCCTCCGACTTCCAGAAAGTTCTGTGCAGAATAAGGTGCTAAGTCAGGGTGAACAGAGAAAGCCCTCTTTCAGTGCTGACCCCCAGCCTGGTCTGAGCTCCTCCGTTGGCACGCCTTCCTGGCGGTACCCCCTGTGTTGGGCTCCACCTACCCTCAGGGGCAGTCAGTTCCTTTTGTAGCCCCACCTCCCAGAGCACTCTCTTGGGTGCAGGCTACGAAGTGTTTTCTGAGGGATTTAGGAAGCAGCACTAGGTTCTAGGAACAAGCCATACACGGCGGCCTGTGTCGTGGTCCTGAGTATGCTTGTTTGCTAGGTTTTTGCACGGGATCTGTGCAATAGCCCAAACACTAATGTGTTTCCAGCCCTGGCTCCCTTGAGCAACCTGGCACAGTCTCTGGCTGCCTGGCATGGCTGAGGTACCTGTACCCCAGGCCCAGGAATGGGTAGCTACACTCCTCTGGTGGCTCCAGTACCTCTCTCTTCTAGCTGCCCTGTGCTGCAGGAGGCTCAGCCTGGCACTTTGCCCCCACTCTGGGCCTGAGGCTCTGCCTCCTGTTTCCTGTGCCCTGGGCTGCAGGGCTCAGGAGCTCGCTGCAGCTCCGTTTGCTGACTTTCCTTTTTTTGCATGGCTTTCTCTGACCTCCAGTGCGTGTTTTTGGGTCCACTTCCTCTTGTGAGGCTTGAGAAGCGTTCTCTTTTGTCATCGCCTCTTCCTGGGGCTCTGCTTCAGGGTCTCCAGGAGAATCCCATGGCTCCCTCTCTTCTCTTCTTGGTCTTGTGCTGCTCCCCCTTCCCTTTTCTCTTTCCTGCTATGGCCTGGCTTTTACCTGTCTCTTTTCATATACAAAAGGGGCTATAGGTCCAGTGAAAAGAAAAGGACACATAGGAATTTTATCACCAACAAATGATATGGGTGCCCTGTGGGGACCAGAAGTTTTCATGAATCGAACACACCAAGGGCTGAGTCACTGTGAGAAAGCCACAGTAGGGCAAATACAGAGGGAATATGTGTGGCATTGAACACTAGAATAAAGAAATGCAAATATAACTGGTCTACAAGTCAGGCAAGTCACCTCTCTAATTAGCATCCTTCTCTCCTCTCTATGCCCACACCTATTCCAGGTGCATTCTGTGCATGGCTTGAGGTATGGCAAGATATGCTTTTTCTGAAAGCCTTGACCTGGCATGGGGAGATCTGTGTGCATCCAGAGAGAGGTCTTAGGAACCAGGTGGGGAGATTTCTCTCCATTGCAAAGGATCCTGTGCCAAGTAATACCAAAGCTGAGCTATTTCAGTTTGGCAGCAGTGCCTCTCTTGACCACCAGGTGGCAATATTGGTCCAAAATTCCGGACTTGCCCGGCTGCTGTGGTCCAGAATCGGGTGAACAGCAGAGGGCAGCCTCGCACAGCCCTGGCACCCGATAAACCACCACTAGGGGCTGCCCGGTGGTGAGAGGGCCCTGCTGTAACACCAAGGGTCAGGGGTTCGGATCCCCGGGCTGGCCAGCAGATGACTTTTGTAGCCACCACAAGACTTGGTACCGCTAGGCATTCTGAAGCAGAAGAGGGGACATGGTGGGACGGGGATTTGCAGTGCAGTTACAGGGAGAGCGGGCAGGCTGGAGGATTGGGGCCAGGGCCTTGTCTCTTCTCTATGAGAAATTCTGTCCCTCCCGTACTTTGAAATAATGATGATGGTTAGGCTGTGTGTTTTCTGATAAATTATGCTTTTTCAGTCATGGAAACATACACTTTTCCATGCTGACCTTTCCCCTATGAGTTAAGTAGAAAGGTAGGCAAGACAGACAAGGCTGACACATAGAGCTGCCCAAAGTCATCTGAGGACGCCTGGCTGATCTTGGGGGAAAGAGCTGTGGGCTTGTTCTTGAAATAGCCCAGGGCTGAAGGGGTGGGCAAGGGGTTGCTGTGTGACTCAGAGGACCTCCTTGTCCTCAGTCGGCCACCACGGGAAGGGAGAAGTCTGCGTCAGTAGCAGCAGTGAACTGGGTGCTGGAGGAAGTGGGGAGGTGTGCAAATAGAGCCGACAGGAAATGAGAAGTCAGCAGCTTCGGCCATGGCAAGATAAATGGGTCGGCCCCTTGCTTCCCCAGCTGGTGCTGACGTTGCCAGAGTGCCGACTCCAGTGTTTCCCAGTAACCCAGGGTTTGGCCGGGGTGGGCAGCACTCCGGACAGGAGGGCAGGGGAGGGGTGGCTGGAAGATCACTGCCAGTCAGGTCTGGAGGCGGGGGTGGGGGTTGCTCAGAAGGGAAAGAAGCCCTCCCTGGTCACAGCAGGATCATTGTCCCTTTGCCGCTGCCGGTGCTATCTGTTTGGATAACTGGAACAATGCGTGTGTATTATCTTAGTGACTGTAACAAGCCTCCTTCCAGCCTCATCTCCTTGGTGAATCAAGACTTTCCCAACAGCAGGGAGGCAGCAGAGCATGGCGGTGAAGTGTCAGAGAGAACTGGCCTCTGTCACTTAACGGCTTGATGACCTTGGGAAAATTACTTAATCTGACTTGTAAAATGTCAGTAGTTACGCCTCCTTCATAGAATTGTTTAATTACACTTTGTCTTTGTTTTTTTGTTTTTGATGGTTGGCCAGTAGGAATTAAACTTTGAATAAGATAATGTATATAAAGCACCTGGTCTCAGTCAATGTTAAACCTCCTTCCTCCCTTCCTCTGACCTTCCGTTGTGATTTTATCAGTGTCTACTAAGCAGAAACACTACCTGCTGCCTGGTATGATGCCTCAATTCGACAAGCACTGCCAGCATGTAGGTACCAGGCACTGCACTAGCTATGGGGATGTGTTGATTTTAGGCCCTGGCATTGGAAGCTCATAGCCAGTCAGGCAGGCCCACAGGCAGGTGGTTCCAATGTGACATGAGTGCTTAGTGAAGTTGTGAGGTGCACATGTGTGTACCGGGCCCATTCTTGGCTTCTTTTCCTTGGTAAACTGTTTGCTCTCTGAGGGTAGGACTGGATACATTTTTTTGGACCTCTTTAACTATGACGGCCATATTTCCTGAGTTAAAATTAAGGACAGCTGGATTAACATGTCTGAGTATTCTTATGGGGGCGATGGAACAAAATATTTGAAGTCGGTGCTGGTTTGGAAAATTCAAGAATAAATATGCAATTCCCACAGCATATAGCAAAGTCCTTGGACACAATGATTACGAAAAGATTTGTTGCATGACTATATTAATAAATGAATGCATAAATAGCTATGATTTCAATGATTTCCAAAAGGTTCCCAAATTCTTTAAGGTCAGAGCATGTGAACCTCCAAGTATTAAAGTGACCGACAGGGTTAATACAGGGAAAAGGTCCGGGTTAGCATGTTGCCCAGGAGGAGCCCCACATTTGCTCATTTGACCAGGTTGAAAAGATGAGCAGATGTCACCTTACAGAGAGAGAGGGGAGTCCCCAGGGACCAGTGTCTCCATGGAGTGAGAGGGGGTTGGGGAAGGCTGGACTTGCCAGAATGGGGCAACATGGAGGAGACCTGGAACAGCCCAGGGAAAGGAAAAGTGCAAGTGCTGGGGAAGAGGGAGCCCAAGAGAGTGGTTGAAGCTTGAAGAACAGCCCCTTGCGCAACACTGGCCTCTGCCCTTTTGGGCAACCTAAAGTTGGAAGATTGGGGAGCCATTTCAGATTAGGTCCAACTCTCTCTCCCTTTTTTTTCTCTTGCTAAAAATACTAAACAGGTGTAGTGACTTGCCCAAAGATACACAGCTGTTTAGTGGCTGGCCTGGGACTAGGAGCCAAGTGTTTGGCCTCCCAGCTCATTGCCCCTGTGAATGGCGAATTTCCAGCCTGTCTGGAAGAACAACAGCCACGAAGCAGGAGTTGGGGCCAGGCCAAGATTGGGAGTGGAGGTGTCTTGCCTGCCTGTGTGCTCACTGTGTCCTGGATGGTGAAGGATGACATCTTAACCCCGACCCCCCCCCCCCATGACAGTGCTGGCTCTGCAAACGATGCCGTCCCAGGACAGGCAGCAGGAAGGGCTGCCCATAAAGGGAGGGATATGAAACAAGGACTGGGTCTAATCTCCTCAACTTCCTCCAGCAATTGACACAAAACACTAGGAGGGACCTACCTTCACTGCTTCCTCCTTTCCCCTAGTCCTAGTCCAGCAGTCCTGCTAGAAGTCTCCCTCGGATGGCTGTGTATGCTGAGTGAGCCAGACTCACCTCCTGGGCCCTCCCATCAAGCCCCTGGACTTCTAAGGTCTCTCATGGACTCGGCCCATCACCCTCTTTCCCACTCAGCTCAAGCTGTCCTGGAGCAAGAAGCCTTTGCTGGCCAGGCTTTGGGGAGCCTGTCCCTGCTTTTGCCTCTCTCACCTATGTGCCCACCTTGGGTGGCGATGAATTCTCCTTCCCAGCTCCTTTGCAGGTTCTGTAGCGCACAGAACAGGAACTTACTTAATGATGCTTTACAACTCCACAGAAAGGAGAGTGTTTTTTTGTCTAAAACGAGAGAGTTGTTTGAATGTAATGGCACTGAGCCTGTGGGATAGCTGGAAGTTAAGGAGAGTGAGGGCTTTTAGAAATGCCATCCTGGGGGCCGGCCCGGTGGCGCACTGGATAGTGCGCCGCTTGGGAAGCGTGGTGGCGCTCCCGCCCGAGGGTTCGGATCCCACATGAGGACCGGTTCCCGCTCACTGGCTGAGCGAGGCGCAGGAGCAACACCGAGGGTTGCGATCCCGTTGCCGGACACGGAAAAAGACAAAAAAAAAAAAAAAAAGAAATGCCATCCTGGAAGGAAACCGGCAACCAAAGACCAAGACAGGAAATGCCTGGTGACTGTCTCAGGTCATTGAATTATCAACACCGCCAACTTCATTTCCATTTAAAATTTTATTACATCAAAAGAAAAAACAAAAAAAACCAAAAAACCTCCACAAACCAAACAAAACTGTAAAACCTAAACTAACTCAAAGACAGATTATAAAGGTTCTAACTCCACCCCCCAAAACAACCTTACGTTAAAAAATCCAAAAGAAATAGAAATACCAGCTTCAAAAATATTTATCCAAAAAAGTAAGGCATTCACTTTACAAAAAAATAATAATTGGAGGAGAGGGGGTTGGAGGAATGAAATTGCCGGACACGGAAAAAAAAAAAAAAAAAAAAAAAAAAAGAAATGCCATCCTGGAAGGAAACCGGCAACCAAAGACCAAGACAGGAAATGCCTGGTGACTGTCTCAGGTCATTGAATTATCAACACCGCCAACTTCATTTCCATTTAAAATTTTATTACATCAAAAGAAAAAACAAAAAAAACCAAAAAACCTCCACAAACCAAACAAAACTGTAAAACCTAAACTAACTCAAAGACAGATTATAAAGGTTCTAACTCCACCCCCCAAAACAACCTTACGTTAAAAAATCCAAAAGAAATAGAAATACCAGCTTCAAAAATATTTATCCAAAAAAGTAAGGCATTCACTTTACAAAAAAATAATAATTGGAGGAGAGGGGGTTGGAGGAATGAAAAGAAAGAGAACAAGGAGATGGTCCCCTGACCCTCCAGGGGCCAACCCAGTCTGCCTGGTGTCTCCTGGAAGGGGCCATAACTCAGACCAAACCCAGCATCTCACCAACTGTGGGTCAGGCGAGCTGGGTGAGAAGCTGGGGGCCAGGAGGGGCTCCTTGGGAATTTCAGTTAAGCAGATGGAATGCGGGGAGCGGGGAGACAATCCTGCTTTGGAATAAAAGAATCCTATATCCTTAGCACAATAGGTGTGGCTGGGGAGGCTGCAAGGCCCAGGGCAAACACCACCTCCTGCCTGTGGAACACAGTGAGAGCTCATGAGGATCTGTAAAGCTGTGCCTTTCTGCCACTGCCCTCATCCTGCCCCAAGACAGGATGGCGGTGAGACCAGGAAGGAGAGAGGGAGGAGCCGGCCTTCAGAAAACTCTCTCTCCCTTCTGAACAGTCCCGAGGTTGTGCGATGGGCACCTCTGGGGAGGTGGGAAAGTGCCCTTCCTCCCAGGGAAGGCATTTAATGTCGGGTCTGTTCTGAGGGTTACAAATAAGGGAGTATTTTTAGGCCTAGCTCTTGGATAGGAGGTGACTTAACTTAAGGCTGATTTGGCTCCAATGTCAGGCCTGAAGGGCTTGGGGATCCTTCACACCCATTCCTGAGCCAAGGTCCTGATTGGAGGAGGACACGATGGGGTGGCTCCGTGTGGATGTGTTGGGGGCATCACTGCAGGGACAGTGGAGTGACTGCTCCTTCCCCTGGGGGTGGGGAGGGAGGAGTTGCTGAGCTGCTTTGTGTTAGGAGATGTGTCCACTACACTGAAAATAAGAAGCCTTCTGGCTTCAGGAAGTGTTGGCACCATGTCAGGAGCAGGATGCAGGGCAGGGCTGGGTCTCTGCAATCAGCCTTTCCCAGTACGCCCCCCAGGCCTGGCATGGGGTGGGGGAGCGGGCAGTTGTCCTTCTCGGTGGTCAGTGGGCAGGTGGTGTTTTGAAAGGAACCTTACTCTGGACAGGGAGCTCAGGTTGGGGTGGGTGGGGAAGAGGGCAGAGGGATGCATCCCTTCTGATTTTTGGGTCCCTGGTGAATGGAGAGGTTTTGGGTCTCTCCAGCTGACATTTAATGGTGACAGATTAGCCTGAGTCTGTCCCTTCCCAACCAACTCACTGTGGCTGCCACTTCTCTCTGAACTGAGGCCTCCCTCAGGCTCAGGAATGGGGAGGGAAGGCAGCAGTCTATTCAGTTTCCTCAAGAGGCAGCTGAGGGTGTGGCCTGGGATGGAGGGCCATTGACACAAAACACTAGGAGGGACCTACCTTCACTGCTTCCTCCTTTCCCCTAGTCCTAGTCCAGCAGTCCTGCTAGAAGTCTCCCTCGGATGGCTGTGTATGCTGAGTGAGCCAGACTCACCTCCTGGGCCCTCCCATCAAGCCCCTGGACTTCTAAGGTCTCTCATGGACTCGGCCCATCACCCTCTTTCCCACTCAGCTCAAGCTGTCCTGGAGCAAGAAGCCTTTGCTGGCCAGGCTTTGGGGAGCCTGTCCCTGCTTTTGCCTCTCTCACCGGGGGGGGGGGGGGGGGGACGACAGGCCCTGGGGTGAGAGGCTGGTTCTCTGGGTACACATGTCAGTGCCTTTGCTCACTACCTGCACCCAGGTCCTGCCCCTGTCTGACAGAAGCAGAGAGGGGCTTGAGTGTGCCGGAGGGACCAGGCAGGGAAGTAGGGCAGGAAGGGGAATGAAGGAGGGCATAGCCAGCTGAGGGGAAGGTGGCCCTCAAGGCTGGGGCTGCTCCACCAAGTCCTTGTCCTTGGCAGGAGTGGGTTGGTAGATGGGCTGGCGCTGCTCCTCTGTGTCCTCATTTGTCTCCTCCATCCCCGAGTCCCCCTCCCCCTCGGGGTACACGACCACACACATCTTCTGGCTCACCAGGGTCAGCAACTCTGAGAATAGAGATCACAAAGAAATCAGTCAGTGCTGGGCATCCCACAGACCTCGCCAACCAGGCCATGGCCTTTCCAGCTGTCCTGTTCCTGGTTTTGCTTCAGCACAGCAGCCCGTGCCTTCAGGAGACGGCCACCCCGTCTGCCTCCTGGCTTCTCTGTTGGCAGCCCCTTGCTCCTCAAGGCCTCAGCCTTCCACGTACCTATGCCCCCTGACCCCAATTGTAGCAGCTATGCTGGTCTCTACCCAGCAGGGGGCAGCTCCTGTAGGATGCTGATGGGTTTCCTATTCCTGCAGGTCTGGGGTCTGTGTTGAGACGTCAGCTGCTCCCCTCTCCACAGAGGTCTCTGGGAGGGCATCTGCCTTTCCTGCCCCCCACTCCTTCTCCAGAGCTCTGTGGACTCAGGTTAGGTGAGCCTCGGCCTCCTGATCCTGGTGGGGCCCCCTCCAGATAACTGACCATCCCAGACCCAGAGGCCCTCCAGCCACCCCGAGCCTTCTACAACTCACCAATGAAGTCATTGAAACACTTGGGCTTGTGTTGCCAGTAAACCCCCAGGAAATAGACGGGCACTCCTGTCAGCATGATGGCCAGGCCAGTGCCGCATACCACAGGCTCTGACCACAGGCTGAAGACCAGCAGGAAGGCCCAGAACAGCAAGTAGATGATGGGGAACAGCAAGCTGATCTGTGGAACAGAGGCACTGTGAGCTTCCTCTCGTGGCTGGCTGAGGCTGGCTGGCTAGCTAGCTCACATGCATGTGTGTGTTCATTCATTCATTCAGTCAGCTGGCCAGTACTGGGATCTGAACCCTTGACTCTGGTGTTATCAACACTGTGCTCTAACCAACTGAGCCAACCAGCCAGCCTTTCTCTTCAATGCACAGGGAACATCGTTGAGGGCACAGGCTGGGCTTCACTCAGCTCTGTGGCTCCCACCCCTAATCCCCGATAGGGCAGGTGCTATGTCAGCGGATGTTGGTGAACTTGGGCAGTGGAACAGGAAGAGGACAGGGGAACCAGGGAGGGAAGGACCCTCATTGCCCACATCCTCTCTCCCAAGTAGGGTCAGACAAGGCGTTATCATCCATGCCCTGTACCCGTGGCAGTCAGAGGAGCCTGTGGGGATGGAGCAGCTTGCTAGCACATTGTATGTACTTGCTGAGGTCCCAAGGTAGAGGACAGGTGGAGCCATGAACGAGGGGCAGGAAGGAAGTGCCCTGGGTCAGGCAGGCTCCCTGCTCCTCACCCACTTCTAGGCAAGGCAAATGTCCACCCCTTTCACCAGGATCCCAAGTTGTTTCTCTCAAGCAATTTGAGAAAATAAACCTGCCAAGATCCAAGAAATCAGAAAACTTAGCATAGTGTAAGGTAGACTGGGGCCTAGACTTTAGTTCAGAAAGAAGCACCAAGTCCACAGGCTTTCCCCTCCTTGTTGACTGAACGTGAAGAGTTCCCAGGAGAGGCCCTCTCGGGGCTCCAGAGGCAGTCCTGACTCACTGCCTTCCTCCTCCCTGCTCCCATGGCAGAGGGGATGCAAGTGGTGGGAAGATGGGGCCATTCTACCTCCTCTTCCCTCTAGCAGGTTTTCTAAGAGTGTGAGAAAAGTGGCAGTAAAAATACCAGTGGGGAACTGAGAAATTTGGAGAGTCCTCGATCACTCAGCTGGAATCTTCCAGAAGCATTTAGTCTGTTTCTAGAATAGGATTGTTCAAATAGCTCCAGGCTATGCTCTATTCTAATTTGTAGAAAGAACGTGTAACACTCTAGTATATCTTGTTTTGAGCAATCCCAACTGTTCCTGAGTTCACTGAGCACCCTGCGTACTATATGTAGGGCCACAGGAGCTTAAAATGGAGGATCATGGCCGAGGTGGACTGGAAAGCATCAGGAAAGAGGAGCTACTTGGGGTGCATCTGGAAAATGGTTAGTATTTAGACAGGCAGATGGGAGAAGGAAACTCAGTCTGGAATGGAGACAAAGCACAGAGTGAGCCCAGATATCTGCAGGCATAAGTAAGAAGTGTTGGAGAGATAAGAGAACCTTGAAAATTCAGCCAGAGTTTAAGACTTAGAGCAGTAGGAAACAAAGGAATGACATGATGAAAATAATATTTAATCTAACTTATTTCCCGGCTGCAATTGCTCTGGTCTTGTCCCCAGTGGAGAATGGAAATGGCTGTCCCATTCACACATGTCCCTTGCTTCCCAGAGTGTCAGCTACCACCATAGAGATGAGGATCATAGGTAATTTAAAAATCTGAGCTGCAGCCAGAACCAAGAGAAGGGGGGAGGGACCCCAAAGGAGGGTTCTCTTACCTTGATGGGGCGGGGGATGTCAGGCTTCTTCCAGCGAAGGACCATCTGCCCAGCAATTGTGACCCCGTAGAAGAGGTAGTTGATGAAGCCCACGTAGTTGATGAGTGTGTACATGTCACTGGTGACCAGCATCAGCAGGGTCGAGATGCACTGGGGATGTGGAGGAGCACGTCAGTGATCAGAAAGCAATTCAGAGACTAGAGGAGATGCTGCGAGGTCAGGGCTCTTCCCCAGCCTCCAGGCAGACTATGCCATTTTTTATGCCATCTTGAGATGCCTCAGGATGGAGACTTGACAAACTCCTCTAGTAACCTAAGCTGTTACCAACACCTTCACTGCTAGGAAGTCCATTCTTATTACATGGTGATAAAGTATTTAATCACTGGTATGGGCATAGGCACTAACCAATCAGAATGAACACTGGCCACAAGCAACTGGACTGCCCACACTGATGTCACCTGGCTGTACGTCAGCCCTGCTCTCATTTATATTTTTCTTTCGATTATAGCTTGGGCTCATTTCTTTTTTTATTCCTTAGAGAAGATTGTTAACTGCAGATTAAGGCTTTATTCTTGTCCTCATCCTTTTCTCCTGACTGAGTCATCTAATTTATTTTTCTTCCTTTTCTTTCTTTTTAATTTCATAAACAGTTATGCAGTGCTTACTATGTGTCATGCCTATTTTTAGCATTCTGCAAATATTAACTCATTTAACCCTCATAATACCCCTGTGAGGTTTTCTTGATAGAGTCCACTTTCCACCTTCAAAATCATCTCTGTGGCTCTCTTGGAAGTATGCTCTTCTCTGATAATTTGTGAAGGCCAATAAAAGTTCAGTTCTCCTGTGAGTCTGATGGTGTGAATAATTGAGAAGATTTTAGTGGGTAAAGATGCCTGCTTCTTGCTGTACTTGCCTGGCTGTCATAGTACTGCACCAATGGCTCAAACTGAAAAAAATCGTGGGGCCCACTGGGCGTACTGTCTTCTCCAGCCACCTTTCACAGCTAACCAATCAAGGTGACCTTCACCCTGTATCTGAACCTTCAAAAATTCCTTTTTTTTTAGCGGCAGCTGGTTGGTATAGGGATCCGAACCCATGACCTTGGTGTTATAACACTGCGTTCCACTAACTGAGCTAACTGGCAGCCCTCGACATTCTGAAATTTCATGTTGTACAGTGCCCTTGACTCCCAAGAGTCCTTTTCCCTTATTTCTAACTGCTTCTTTTGTGGACCAAAGTTATTTTTAATGTTTTACTCAGGATCCAGAAGGAAAATAAAAGTAACTCAAAAGACTCAATGGGGACAAGACTTTGCTCCTTCCTTTAGCTCTCTCTAAATGATTCTACTCTGGAAACGTTTTACCTCCATTTCTTCCCCATCCCAAGTTTCCTTTTCCCCATCTTCAGTTTATTAGTCTTCATCTATTTATGATTTTTTTATTTGGTGTACTCTTTACACCGAATTTGTTTCAATGATGTTTCCTGAGAGACTGACAGGGTGCCCTGACACAGGAAGCTGGATGGGGAGAATCGGGTGTGTGCAGGGACCAGCCAGAAGCAGAGGCCCAGCGCTGCAACTCTGCAGTGACAGGTGTGAGGAGAGTAAGGGGAGGAGAAGCTTCTTTGTGAGGATGGAGAATCCTGAGGCAGTCACTTCTGTCTGACTCCAAAGGATGGGAGAATATAAGTGAGCCAGCCAGAGAGCCTTAAGGTGTTTCAGGACTCTGGGTCTTTACTTGCTAGATCTCTTGATATTAATAAAGCCAATGAATATCATTTGCCAGATTATTTAAGACCCAGTGAAACCTAGGAGCAGACCAGCAGGGTGACAGGGGCATGTGTGCAAAGTGTGAACTGCTAGCTCAGGGTGGGTACACATAGAGGGAGCACATGTGTAGGGCTGGAGTAGGAGGGGCCCTTACTGTGAAGAGCAGGGCTGGGATTGGGGTGCAGCGCTTCACATGGATCATGGCCAGCACGCTGGGAAGGTGGCCCTCTCTGGCTCCAGCAAAGAACAGCCTGGCAGGGAGAAAAGCTGGTCAGCCTGGGATGGACTACAGACCACCAGGCCTGGGTTCCCGCATCCATGCCCACCTCCTGCCCCCACAGGAGCATCCCCCCTCCAACCAGGTACCCGCCTGCAAGTGCATACCTTCCAGCCCGCTAATCCCAGGACCCGTGTTCAAAAATGTGGGTGCAGACAAACCAGAAGCAGGCAAGCCAGTGGATAAATGGATGGATGCAGGGTGTGTGGAGACTCTGAATGTGGTCTGTGTGGCTCAGGGTTACTCTGTGGGTCACTTGCAATGACTGGAGGCTACAGGAACAGCCTCTTGCTTTCGCCTGAGGTCTTCATCCCTTTAAAAGTGTGCCTCTCCCTCCTGATAAAATGGGACTGAACTGTACATGGAAAGCTTTAAAAATATCCTTATCCTAGTCAGAGGGCAGTTGCCTCTTCAGGGGTGAGGCATGGGTGGGGGGACTAGAAAGGGGGATGTGGGAACTCAGGGGACAGGGGAAATGTTCTATATCTTGTTTTGGGTGGTGGTTACATGGCTGTCTGCAATTGCCAAAACTCATCAAACTGAACACTCATGATCCATGTACTTTATTGTATGTAAATTGTACTTAAAATTTATATCCCTATAGGCTACATATTCTATTCCCAAGAAGCCACCCTAAAGAAATGAATAAAGAGTTGGTGAGGGCTGGCCAGTGAGCTCAGTTGGTTAGAGCATGGTGTTGAACAGAAGTCGAGAGTTCGGATCTTGGCCAGCCACCAAAAAATAAAAAGTTGGTTAAAGGTATACATACAAAGACAGCCCGGTGATAAGAAAAAATTGGAAATAATCCTAAATGCCTACAAGTAGGAGATTGATAAATTATGGCATATCTGTAAGATGAAACAGCATATAGTCATATTTTTTTTGGAAAAAAAGGATTACATGAGAACATGTTCACAATATAATGTTGAATGGAAAAAGCAGAATAGAAAATTATATACTTCTAATTAATTTTAAAATCATGTATGGGCATGTAAAAAAAAAAATACATGAAAATACCTGCTCATCTCTGGGTAGTGCGATTATGGGGAATTTAAATTTTCTTCCTTATACTTTACAGAAAAAATTTTAACATCCTAAAATAGGATATTTATAATCAGAATAAAAATTTTTTGACTAAATAAAAAATTAAGCTTTTTATTTTGAAATAATTGTAGATTCACATGCAGTTGTAAGAAATAATATAGAGAGATCCTATGTATCCTTTAGCCAGTTTCCCCCATTGTTAACATATTGCAAAACTATAGTACAATATCATGACTATGATATTGATGTTTAAAATTTTTTTTTTTTTTTTTTTTTTGTGGCTGGCTGGTACAGGGATTGAAACCTGGACCTTGCTGTGATCAGCACCATGTTCTAATCAACTGAGCTATCCGGCCAGCTCCAAAAGTTGTTTTTAAAAAGAGAAGTTGTAATGTAAAAAGCAGCTCTTCTTCCCTTTCCCTCTCCCAAGAGAAAAGAGAATACTACAAGCCGTTAGTAGTCATTTACATGTCAGTATGAATTAGATCACTTTTTCTTTTCTCTAGGGAAAGGGGCACCTAAGGGATGAGAAGAATAGGATGGTGTGATGGGGACACAAAGGCACAGATTCAGCACACTGGGAGTTCTGAAGAGAACTGTCACTTACTTTGTAATTGGTGTATGGGGGAGAGTGGAGGTAACGGCAGTGTGGGAGTTGACTATGGCCTCAGGTGTCCATAAGCAGTTGCCATCAGTGAACGACCTAGGCCAGTGTCACTATTTCATGCAGCCACACACATCCCTGCCCCTCCGGCCATGCTTCTGCCCCTCCACAGTGCAGCCTCATGCACCAGACTCAGCCCCAGGTGCTCTGTGGGCCTCATCGTGCACACAGCCAGGGTCCTGCATTCACATGCAGGTCCTTCTACATGCAGCCAGGACCAGGTGTAATTCTCCAGGCCCAAGAGCATTTGCAAGTGTCAAGTTCACAAGAGAGAGCCCTTGCCTGGCTAGGTGACAACGGAGGAGACGATGACATTAAGCATAACACACACCCACACACACTCCGACGCCTCAGGAAGGATTATCCTTTCCATACCCCAGTACACAAAGAGTGAAAGAGAGAAAAGGGAAGAAGGAGGAAGGAAAGAAGGAACCAGAAAGATGGGCAGAGAAGGCCTGGGTGGGTGAGGTCATGCCTCTGAATCAGAGGCCGCGCACACACACACCATGCGCCGCCATCTCCTGCATGCACACACAACTATACCACATGCACGCAGACCGCTGCTTGGCCTGCCCGAGGGACAAACCCCACTCTAAAGCAACTGTAGCCAGTCACTCTCCTCCAATTGATCACAGGGAGCCTCATGGGTCACTGCTCTTCCACCGCTTGCCCTCTGTGGGGGCCTCCATGTGGTCACTGCTCCTGTGTAACATGCACATGAGGTTGCTGCAGGTGAGTGACATGGGGTCCTGGTGTGCTGGGGACACCCACACTACCTCTTTCCTGTCCTGGGTCCTGAAAACATGGCATTCCCTTGCCATTCCCGAGAACTCCTCCCTGATGTGATGGGGCTTTGGAAGGAGCTGAACTCAGGGATGCATCTTTTGAGTAGTACTGTGCCCTGGGGGAAGGAGCAGCTTTCTAAGAAGACTGGGAGAACCCCTTAAACTACACACATGGAAATTACCCAACATCTGCTAGCAGTCATTCTGGAGACAGCAAGAAGTGACACGAAGGAGGGTTCAGATCCCTGGATGTGTAGAGGTGGGAGCTGGGGACTCCTGGGCCCATTTGTGCTTCTGGCTTCTCAGAGAGTTTTGGGGTGGGGGTTGTGGCTGAAAGTCTCTTCCTTTGAACAAATGCTTTCTTTCTGCTCTTCCTCACCTCTCACTTCACATTCTCCACCTGACTCTCATGGGTGGCTACGCAAAGGGCTCCCATAGCTGCCTGTCTGTTGAGCAGGGAGGAGTGATTCCATCCCACCTGCAGTCTGGTTCCAGAATGCTCAAGGGAGATGGGCCCAGAGGCCCCGAGCATAAGTATCCCTCCAGTCCTTGCAGAGTGAGGTTCCTTTCTAGCCAGCATCAGACTGCTTCCATGCATTTGGAAATGGGGGCTCTAGGATACAACCAAGACACTGTCCTGTTGCTAACCATAGCCCCCTGACCTGGGACTACGTCAGGTTGGCTGGAGGGTCCCTCGGTTCTCTGCTCCTTTTGAAATGAGGTGGGCCACTACATGTGAAGTACCTAAGACCTGTATGACTCACACATCATAGATAACCACATGAGCAGCACACACCTCTCAGCATCCACACAGATACGCACACCCTCACGTGAGCAAGGCCACCAGGTCCCCACACAGACCCCCTGCTGACAGAGACAAGCCCACCCGGTATAAACAAAGCAGTGTGCACAGCAAAGTGGACCCCTGGCCTGGGAAGGGCCCAGGCAGCACTCACCGGGAGGAGGTGAAGAGAGACCCATTGACTCCTCCAAATGTGGACAGAGCAACGGAAATGGGTATGATCCAGGCCATGATCCCGAGGAGCTTCTCTCCAAAAGTCTGGGAGAGAAAAGAAGGGGGTAAGCAGAAAAGGAGTGGTACAACTCCTCCACCCCTCAGCCTGCACTCTACTGCTGGAAAAGCTTCTCTCCCTCTCCACTCTGGCTGATTCCCTTTGCCTAAGCTCCTTGAGAGTCCCTGTGCAAATCACCACTCCCCACAGTGAGAATGGCACACATGGAGTCCATACACATTTGGGGCTAATTAACTGAACAAGACAGCGCATGGTAGTAATAACAGCAATAGTAATGAACTAACGTTTATTACCCTTGTTTTATGGATGAGGAAACTGAGGCACATTGTGATTGAGAAGTTTGTCTAAGATCACACACCCAGGAAGTGGAGGGGCCAGGACTGGAAGCCAGGTGGTGTGAGTCAGGTACATTATATGATTTCTCTAGCACAGGCTTGTGAGCCAGGCAGATCTGGGTCCAAGTCATAGCCTTCCATCTAGGAGCTGCGAAACCTTGAGCAAGTTTTCTATTTCTTGAGCCTAAGTTTCCCATCTGTAAAATAGGAATGAATCCTAATTCCTACGGTGAAAATTTTTAAATTCCATACAGATTAATTGGGGGAAAAATGATCAGAAGTTCCTACTTGGGCTGAGAAAGAAAAGTGTGAAGCTCTAGACTAGTCTTTGTGAACTGAAGGACTATATCATGTAGGGGACCATCCTTTTCTGTGTTCTCTGAGCCAGGTTTACAGCACATTTCTGGGGAGGGGTTGTTTAGAATAGATGTCCTGCGGGGCAAAGCTGTAGGTCATAGGAACAAGCTGCCACGGGACTCTGGAGGGACTCTTTCTTTACAGTCTTCAGAGATAAGACAAGTGACAGCAGTCTGGCAGGGTGGGTCATGACACAGGCTGCAGCCAGGCAAGGCAGTAACACGGCTCCCAGGTCTTTCTCGGATATCAAGGATCCCAACCCTTGGGCTGAGAAAGATAATCTCTTTCTTCAAAAAGCACAAACCGCTCCTACTTCTGCCTCATTTACAAGCACCCACTTCTTCCTGATGAAGAGGAGGAAATGGAGGCAGAGAGGAATGGCAGGTCTTGTGCAATATCATGCCACGACTCTCACATTTAGGGTTTAAATTCCCCTAGATCAGGAGTCAGCAAACTTTGAGTAAAGGGTCAGACAGTAAATATTTTGGCTTCATGGGCCATACAGTCTTTATGACAACTACTTAGTTCTGTCATTGTAGCTGTTTTAGGGACAACCCAGTCATCAGTGTGCTCCTGGGCACTTGGAGATGTCCCAGCGAGGATATACGTGGTTTCTGCCCTGAAGGCTTGGACTGGTTCCCATTCCATGAGGCCATGGATCAGGGAAAGGCGAGTGGGGCTAAGCAGGCAAGTCTATGTCAGCATTCCTGGTGTGAGAGACTGGGAGGCCAATTTCTTACCACAGCGACGGCGTTTGATGCCAGCAGCTCCTGGGGGGACATTGCAGTGACATAGGCGACATTGGCAAAGACATATACAAATGTGACCAGTGGGATGGAGATGAAGATGGCTCTGGGAAGGTTCCTGTAGAGGGAGAGGAGGTGAGGGGAGGCCACGTCCAGGATGGCCACCTGCCTCATTTTGGGGTCCAGGGAGTGCCTTCTGTCTTTCTGCATGAGGCTAACCTGTCAGCCTTCTGTGATGCTTCTCCTCCCTGGGGGGTGAGTTTTGTCTCAATTTAAAGGAAATGAAAACCTTAGGCTGGAAATATGTTCCATACCTGTTGATCTCTTCTTGACTTGAATCTCCGCAATGCACCCATTCTCCTGCCTCAAGACACAAAGATCGACTTGTCCTGAAACAGGTGCCCACAAGCCTCTCAGGGCACATTTCACTCTCTAAGTCAGCGGTGTTACCTTAGCAGTTTTCAGCTTTTAACCTGCTCTGGGACAGTCACGGGATCCTTTTCTTCTCTGGTCAGGGTGGATGACAAATGGCTTAAGTTCCTGGGAAATGAACTATTACTTAAGGATAGACCAGATCAAGGTCAGAATGGAGCAGAGGGGAGAAGTGGGCAGGGGACATCTGCTCCCTCTTTCCAGTAGCAGGTGTTGTGGCCTTTCAAGAGAGAGGAGAAGAGCTGGGCTGTTTCAACTCACTTGTAGGGATCAACAAGTTCCTCAGTCACGTAATTAAGAAAGTTCCAGCCTCCATAGGCAAAGGATCCCTGAAGGAAAGCCAGTGCAATGAGGCCGATGTCAGGTTCCTGGAAATTCTCAAATGCATTCTTTGGCTCCAGCCAGAAGTATTCTCCTGTGGACACAGCAGGCAGGAGGCTGTTCAGAGAGATAAATCAGGGGTCCAGCAGCCCCTGGCCTGCCCCATCCAGTCTCTTGCCCCTCCCTGTGGTGATGATGCCAGCTCTTTGTCTCGCTTCCTGTCAAGCCTACATATTGGAGAAGTGGGGCTAAAAGGAGCAGGGAAGTACAGGTCCGGGCCCTCCTGGAACCTGGTAACCATGAGTCTAAATGGGAGTCTAGGTTCAAAGCCCAGTTCTGAATGTTCCTTTTTTATTTTTTATTTTTACTTTTATTTTTTTTTCCTTTTTGTCTTTTTTACTGACCGGTAACAGGATCGCAACCCTCGGTGTCGCGCCCGTACCGGGGACCGGCAACGGGATCGCAACCCTCGGTGTTGCGCCCGCACCACGCTCAGCCAGTGAGCGGAAACCGGTCTCCACATGGGATCCGAACCCTCAGCGGGAGCGCCGCCGCGCTCCCAAGCGGCGCACTCTCCAGTGCGCCACCGGGCTGGCCCTGAATGTTCCTTTTTTAAAAGGCAAAGTCACTTGGAAGGAAAGGCTGGGGCAAATTGGGAGGCTGGCTTGCTGGACTTTGGAAACACAGTGTTGGGGGCATGGACAGTCTCCTGACCACCTTCCCTGAGAGCTATATTTGTACGTTTTCATGAAGAAAGTATCAAGAACAACACTCGAACATAAGCTCCCATAATGCTATCTTAGTTTCAGCTTGTTTTGCTTGCTTTGTCAATATCCTCCTGTCTCTTTCTAAGGTATGTGTTTGAGCTCCCTTTTCAGGGTATAGATTCCCTGAGGACAGGGGTCCTTTAGCAAAGAGCTTTTAAATTGCCTTCCCAGCCCTTAGCACCATGTCCTGCACAGAGTGGGCCCTCAAAACAGGTTGCTGACTGACTGACTGAGGTTGTAACTAGATACTGACCAATGTTACTTATGCATCTGCAGTCCAGAACTTGGACAGGAAATAAGAAGATTAGAGTGACCAGGAGAAGGAATCGAGGCCAGATTTAGAAGGCACTCACTATCTTTGAAAAGATAGCATAGTGATTTCCTTAAGTCTAAATTCCTGAAAACAATATAACCTGCTAAAGAATGTAATCCAACTGATTAGAATAATCAGACACATTATATAGCAGAAACTTAATTATGTTTCCTGGAGTAAAAATCTGGGCTCTCCACACTGACCTCAAGGCTTGTGGGTGGATGGGAGCTCTCCGTTTGTCATCTGACCTTCTCTGTGAGGCAGTGATGCTGGGCAGAGCCTAGTGGTGTCACGAGTCCCATGGAAACCAAATACAGACTCGGGTTGGGAGCTCTCCGTTTGTCATCTGACCTTCTCTGTGAGGCAGTGATGCTGGGCAGAGCCTAGGGGTGTCACGAGTCCCATGGAAACCAAATACAGACTCGGGTTTGGAAAGGACCAAATCCAGTGGGGAATGTTGGCAGGGGCCCCAGGAATGTAGAGCTCTCTCTTGCAGAGATTATGAGTAATTTTGAAACAAAATTTTCCTCTGTCCTCCATTTTAAGATATGGACAAGATAGAAAACAAGATGCAGGGAGCTTCCCTGGGGCTGGGGGAAAACTGGCAATAGGAGTCCAGAGATCTGGGGTCTTTACCTAGCTGTGCTAGAGCCATGAGGTGAATATGGGAAGCCTGACCTTTGCAGATGAGGGGGAACATCTCCTACTTCCAACCACCCTGGGAAAATGGTTTCTGTTCCCCCTTGTCAAGCAAGTGGAAGAAGAGAAGTCACTCAAGGTTGGAATTGGGAAATCTCAGGATGTGCACACTTCCAAAGAGGGGGTAAGGGGGTGGGTGTATGCAAGGGGCCCTGCTGTTCCGATAACACTCACCTTTGCATATCTGCACAACCCCCATGATTATGATCAGGGCCAGGGCCAGGAGCTTCCCAGCTGTGAAGATGTCTTGAACCCGAGTGGCCCACCGCACACTGGAGCAGTTGACCCATGTGAGGAGCACTGAAATGACAGACCCCCCAAATATACCCTCAGGGGCCATATGAGGCTGCACCTGCCCACTGCACAGAAGCAGAAGTGCTCCTTGCCCTAGATGATGGGATGCTAAATGTCCTGCAAGCTCAGCCCCAGTGACCAGAAACTGGCTAGGTTAATGGGTTACAGATGGAGATTATGTGCCCCAAATTAATGCTTGGTCAGAGCATGCTCTGCTGTGGGCTGGAAGCCAGAAGTAGGCATGGGAATGTAGGCACTGGCTTTGGGGAAAAACCAGCATCTGATCAGGGCACAAGTATGGGCTTTGTCTCCAAGTCCTTATCTGTTCAATAGGGGTCCTGAACAGCTAGTGGGATCCTGGATGTCACCTTCCTGAGCCTGACTTTGGGGCAACAGAGGTTTAGCAAAATAATCTTGTTACTTAGGTTTATTGAGGTATAATGTACATCTAGTAAAATTCACCTTTTTAAGTGTATGGCTTGATGAGTCTTGACAAATATATTTAATCATTTAATCACTACCACACTCAATATGTAGGACATTTCCAGCACGCCAAAAAGTTCCCTTATATGTTATGCTCCTTTGTAGTCAGTCAATCGTCTTCCCCTACCTCTGTCAACCACTAATATGATTTCTGTCCCTAATGTATGCTTTTTCCAGGATGTCACATAAATAGAATCATACAATACGTGGCCCTTTATGTCTGGGTTCTTTCATTTAATGTAATACTTTTGAGGTCTATTCATGTTGCTGCATATATTAGTAATTTGTTCCTTTTTATTGTCAAATAGTATTCCATTATATGAATGTATCAGTTTGTTTTTCCACTTACCATCTAATGAACATTTGGGTAGTGTCCAGTTTGGGGCTATTATGAATAAAGCTGCTATAAACACTTGCATAGAAATCCTTTTGTGGATTGTAGAGGTCTTTGAGTGGGGTTTTCATTTCTCTTGAATAAATACCCAGGAATGGGATTCTGAGTCATATGGTAAGTGTATGTTTAACTTTGTAAGGAACTGCCAGACTGTTTTCCTAAGTGGTCATATTATGTTGCATCTCCACCAGCCATGTCTGAGAGTTGCTATTGTTCTGTATCCTTGTCAGCATTTGGTGTTGTCAGTTTAAAAAATAAATTTGGCTGCTCCCATAGGTGTGCAGTGATATTTCATTGTGGTTTTGACTTGCATTTCCCTAATGACTAATGATATTGAGCAAGTTTTCATGTGCTTATTGGCCATCCATCTGTATGTTTTCTTTGATGGCATGAAGGGTTTTAACTCTGTCTCTTTACCCAGGAGTTGCAGGGCTCCAATAGAGATCCCAACAATGTGACACCTCTAAGGACTGGGTGGGAGCTCAGAGGTTGAGGACTCTCTCTGCCTTGCTGCTACACTGTCCTAGCAATGCACTGGAGCCCTGTGCTGCAGAAACGGGACTCTCAATTTCTTGATGGTTGTGAAGTGCTTAAGAATAAAGGGGTGAGGGAAGAAATTCTCCTGAAACAGTAATCTGGATACCCCCTATTCGTTAAAATGTACACATCACACATCTAAAAGCATGAGACTATTTCTGCCTTCCCCAGCCTCTAACCAGGGATGTGACTTCACTTGAATGGCTGATCAGTTATATCAATAACATATCCTTAAACTGTGCTTTTACTTTCCAAATATTTCCCAACCTCACTTGATTCTGAGAACATCTCGGCAGGGTAGGAAGGTCCTGACATTATTATCTATCTGTAACCTCCCTCCCTACACTGTCTCCACCTGGCAAACTCCTTCTCATCTTTCAAGATCCAGCTCAAATGTCACCTGTTCTGTGAGTCTTTATAATTTATAATCTTATTTATTCCTAACAACGTGCCTGCAAGGTAAGATATATTGCCCATGTTTTATAGACAAGGAACAAAATTCTTTAAAACAATCCCTAACCACTTTGTTAAATCTAATTTTGGCATTTATTTCTTTGTATTAAAATGATGTTTCTTTTTTCCCTCTCTTTTTGTAAACTAGGAGGGCAGGGACTATGACTTTTTTATGTTTTTAATCCCAGGGCATATCATTGGTGCCTGTGAATAGTAGGTGCTCAACAAATATTTAATAAATGAATATAGAAAATGCCACAATTCATTAGTCCTCCACTCTCATCTGAGTCTACACATTCCACAATGCACACCAATCTCCCTGCTCCCCAGGAATCTCATCAAAAGAAGACAGAATCCTTGAAGTGCTGCTCGTTGCTTGACTTACTCAGAAAATTATACAATTCTTTGAAAGAACATTGCATGCTACCATTAAAATCACTGGTGATTTAGTGAGTTTGTGAATGATTGACTCTTCCAAGGCAGTGGTGCAGTGGAAGGCACTTAGCTCCTGGGCACAGTCACATGGAGCATATATCATTATGTGTTCAGGCTGCGTTCTAATATGTACATTCTTCTTTCACCATATACATTGCTGGCTTTATTTCCAGTTCTCTTCCAATTAAAATATTGAAGAAGTTGCAGGACATCCAGTTTGTTTCTGAGTACTGTGGAACAAAATGTATGACAGTAAACTATCAGCTCATCTTGGCAAGGACTTTTGGTATGCACTATCAAACATATTTGTAAGAAGGGGAATTATATTTTGGTGGTCAGAATGGGAGTGATGATAGTGTATGTATGATAGGTATGTAGAGTGTTCTTTGTTGGTTTTTGTTTTGTTTTGTTTCCAGATTTTTTTTCCTTGGCTCAGCATGATTTGTCTGGCAGTGCCTCCCTCTTTCCCTATCCATCATTCTTTGCTGTAGATTGAGGACTATAAATCTTATACAAAGAACCCATCAGAATCCTATACGAAGAACTCACCATTTCTGATCTTTTTGAATCTTAGCAACGTTGAGATTCTGCATTAGTTTTCTTGGTTTTAAGTTGAAAGGTGATTGTGAGGATTGTGGAACATGGCTAACCTGATTGACTTTTGGGATGAAATTTGATGCAATGTAATCATGTTTCAAAGATTTTCTATCTTGGAAGGGGGATCTCATGGCCTAGGATTGCTGAAAAGTTTCACTGTACAGTTTCTGCTACTGCAATTATGTTGTGAATAAAAGCTTTAAAATACCAAAAAAAAAAAAAACAAAAAAAAAAAAAAAAAAAAAAGAAAAAGAAAAAAAAGAAGACAGAATTCCCCAATTGCTTTCACAGAGCCAAAAGAGCAACAAACAGGAAGATTGACTTCAAGAGTAGAAACTCTTGACTCCTCATGTAGGAGCTATTATCCAAGATGGTGTCATATAAGGAGAATCAAAACATGTTGTCAGAGGAAGGATTTTAAGTGCCAGAGCAGGGAGAACATTTTGTAAATACTCTAATGTTCCAGATGGATGGAGACATCCTGATAAATACGCTTTTGGTTTATCTTACTCAACTCAATAAAGATTTCAGGATCATGTGCCTGGTGACAATCCAACTCCAATCACTCTAAACAACCTGGTCTGAGATCTCAGCTTCTCCCCAGATCCCTGTACCCAGCAATTCAGGCAGACATAAGCGATAAAGACTAAAGGATAAAGCAGACTGACATGAACAGAAGGAAGATTAGAAAACAAAACACATGTGGCCCTGGGAAAGGTAAAGATTATAGAGTTAGGAACTGGATCTTGATCTCAGAGAAGATAATCATCCTCCACCAAGGGGAGGAGAGGGCAGTGTGGGATGTGACAGGAAACTGCTTGAGGAAAACAAGGGCAGAGTAGGACAACTCAGAGAAATTCCTCCTCCCCCAAGCAGGAGGGGAAAGGTGGCCATCTTCCTGTGTGCTGGGATAGAAAACGTTAAAACATCTCTTTACAGGACAGACCTTGTTGAGACAGAAAGAGTCCTTCAAACTGTCAGCTCCATGGTATTCCTGGGGGGCGGGGATTAGAGATGTTTGAAGGAAAGAGATACTTCATCAAATAACCTCACTGTAGGTATCTTCTATCCTGCCTGACCTTATCTCCACAGCTTCTCAAGGACCCAGCCCTCTACTAATATTTAACCTCTTGCCTTCACAGTGATCTTTGATAAATAAGAGGAGAAATTCTGAGAACAAGGTGGGGATAGGTGGCTGCCGGTGGCATCTGATCTCCTTGGAACAGTGGCTGCAGGGCCCAAGACTGACCCTTCACTCCTGCAGTTGGGTGATTGCAACATGTGACTGAGGGAAAGAGGGCACTTTCAGTCTCCTGGTACCACAGGACGGCTTCTCTCACAGCAGGCTGACATCTGAGCCTCCATCCAGAGAGGAAAGGTCAGCAAGTGAAGGCAACATGATGGGTGCTTGCCAAGCCTCTGCCCTGCTCGGGAGTCCTGCCACTGCCCATCTGCTCCCCAGCACCCTTTTCTGCAGCTGCTGACTATGTCCTCTCTCTTCTAAGCTAGACCCTGGATTCTGCACGTCTCAGATACAGTGTCCTCAGGGAAGCCACATGTAGATGGGGGCCAGAGGCACCACAGCTTGAAGTCTGAGGGTTTTCATCCACCCACCCGTCCATCCATTCATCCATCCATCCACACAGGGTCTACATGTGCTAGGCACTTCGGTATGTGGAGAAGTTATAAATAAGACACAAATCCCTGCCCTCAGGAAGTTGATGGGGTATAGAGGGGATAGGTGAGCTGAGAGATGATGGTAAAATAGCATGGTGATGGCAGAGCTATTCATGGAAGCTACTGGGTGTACACGAGGAGCCCTAACTCAGCCCAAGGGAATCAGAGATGCCTCCTATAGGAGGAGGAAACTCTAGCAACATGGGGAATTTTATAATTTTTGTCCAGCTAAGCAAAATAAAAAGGAATAAGACTCTGGTTCTGGACAATTGTAATCTAGCTGTGGGAGTGGTTGCCACTTTCCTAAAGGTCCTATAGAATCCCAGGCTTGTCTGTATTTCTTGGCATTTTCTCCTCTCTTTCTCTCTCATTTCCTGGATAAAAAATAAGATGAAAAGATTATTATGAAGATGAGACTTCAAGAAGATGC